AAAAAAAWMWCMYYTTTWTTTTCCTTTCAGTATTGTAAATATTTGCTGAAAGACATGGTTTTGGGGGAAATCAGATCAAAAAGATTCATTGCCTAATTGCTATAAATAATCCTGCTGGACTTCATTTTGAAAGCTCCTTCCGTATCCCCAGAAGTGTCCTGCTTGAAATCTGATTTGTATAACCTTGTACAAAGCCTAATTCACAAACAGTGGTTTAATTTTCCTGTTCCGTGTTTCCAGTGTGTCTCGTGGATGATTCAGGGTTCTGTGGTCTCACAAGAGTGACCGAGTGGTCAAGCAGGCTTGTTCCCAGGGTCAGGTGGCTCAGGACTGGGTAATTATCCACCAGAAACAAGGTGTTTGTTCGCTACCTCGCTGTTCTCTTGAGAACTTGCACAACTCTTCTTGCCATTTAGGTTCTGGGGATCCTTTCAAGATTTTGCAATGCTGAGACAAGAGGCTGAATTTTTGCTAAGAGAAAATTCTGGCACTTTTAGCAGTAGTTTTCATAGGGAAACAGCACAAAACATGGGGATGTTGAAAGGTGATGTATTCTCAATACCCTGGGCRAGCTAGGAAATAGACTGTACAACTTAGGAGTTTGGGCTGTTCAGAGATACTGAAATCATCAGTAATTGCTTTTGATGGGAACAATATTGCTGTGGAACGACTGCTCTGATCCTTGAGGAGTCAAATTGTCAACTGCATGAACTGGATATTTTAGGCTTTATTTCTGTTGCTTTAATCTTCATGTTTYACCCTCCCTCATCTGGAATTCCCTATTAAATGTACCATGCCAGGTCTTTGCACAAAAATAAGAGCATTTTGCCCAATAAACATTCAGGAAGTTGTTCACATCTGTAACTAGAGCCCTGATGTAGAAAGTTTATTTCATTACAGAGAGATTGAGCCCAACCACAGATGAGGAGGGGCAGTGCAGCATCCTGAGAGYTCTCTCTGCTCARCATCRGGAAAGTTARCATCCTAAATATTCACAAATTAGAYGAGATGGTTCCTAACAATGGTTGATATAAATAGCTGATATAGTTGATATGAAATAGCTTCAAAGAAAAGCTGATTCTTGTCATGCAGAGTGGAGGAGCATGAAATCCCAAGTACAGGATGAATTGAGGTAGAAATTTACTAAGGCTTTCTGTAACAGAAGCACAGAACACATCCAGTGGTTTAATGAGAAGGCAAAGTGGTTACTAAGTAGTTGTCAATAAACGTAACATCCAAAAGCAGGTATAAGCTATTTTCATTTTTCTAGTCTCTTTTATTTTTTCTG